GTATTATACACCTTTTGGAATGCATCTCCAGCAAAATAAGATTTTTAAATTTAATAAAACGCACATAATTAATATTTCAAATGCACAACCTACTGGGCATGTCGGGATTAAAAATTATCAAAAATTTTTAAAATGGTAAAAGCAAATTTTATTAAGAGTAATAAAAATAACAAATGAAAATCGTTAGAATTCAACATTACAAATTATATACCACCCTATCCTATATAATGATAATATTAAAGAACAAACTATAACGCCTATCTCATGCAATATGGGATTATATTAACATTTCCAGGATTGGGATTTTTCCCCATTTCAAATAAAATAAGCATCTATTTTAAGATTACTGTCATGCCTTCTGTGTTTCCTACTTCTATAATTTAACAAAAAACTGACGAAAGATTAATTTGCAATATTTTCGATGTGTAAATGAATTAAATATAATATTTAAAATTCTAACATTTATAAAAAAAATAAATATTTTTTAGAATTACTAGTATATTTTTGTGGTAATGTTTAATTATTTAAAAAGTTATATATATATCATTGTTTAAGATATAGTTTTTAAGCTAAGGTCTTCAACCATTTTTAAAATAAGTCCTTGTAAACAGTTATTTGGGACCAATTCTTTTTTGAAAATTTATTATCAGATACAATTTCAAAAAATCAATAGTATTAAAATCCATTTTTAATTCATATTTCTGGTTATCAAAACTTGCCAAAAATATAAATAATATCCTTTTAATCATTATAGGTGCTGAAGATTGAGCAATGCCATATGGAATCAATGGTCATATTTCTTACGCACTTAAATATTTTTATCAATAAATAAAAATTTTAGATAGAATATTTAGGATAAATAGATTTAGGATAATGGAAATGGGGAAGGGGTGGCAATTAGATTAGATTTTGATAATAGTTACCTATATTGATTATTAATATCCATTAGTGAGTTTTCTTGGATATAGGAAGAGGTTCTAATTAGATATTTTATGTAAATAACATGTAATATAAGATGCTTTTTATATCAATATAAATATAGATATGACTACACTTATCCCCGAGGGTGATATATCTGAGGCTGATATAGAGAGCTCAGACGTAGTAGACATTTAAATTATTATCCTTTACTGACAGATGATTTGTCGACATCTACTTATATTACAAATAAACTAGGTCTTGAATTAGAGGATATAATCGAAGATTCCCTAATTAAAATAAAAGATAACCCCCTTTGGTGTAAAAAAGACATCGGAAATATGAATACAGAATTAATCCCTACTGGAAATTCCTGAGCAGGATTTAATTCCTTTAACCTATTTTGATAAATTTTTGGACAACCAGCTGATTAGCAATTTTGTATTGGAAACAAATATTATTTACTTCCAATATTGTGGTAAATCTATAAGTTCAAATAGCGATGAAATTGACAAATTTATTGGGATACACATTTATACTAGCTTAGCTAAGATGCCTTTGATAGGATAATATTGGTCGACATCTATTCCACCAGTGGCGGAAACTATGTCCCGCAATCGTTTCTTTTTGATCCGGAAATATTTCCATAATTAATAATAGCAAAGATATGGTAAATAGGGATGATAAAGGATACAAAAAATTATTCAAAATTTAACCCTTTAATGTTAACTAAAAAATAATTTCAAAAAAATCAAACTTGAAGAGAAGCAAGCTAGCTATAGGCGAGTTAATAATTCACTTCTAGGGACATTTTTAAAATAACATTAAATCAAAGCCCCATATTGGGGGATAAAAGTATACATTAAATCGATGGATATAAAGTATTTGCCCTATGTGGCTTTTACAGATTTATATATGAATTTGAAATATACCATGGAAAGGCAACAAATGCCATTAAATAATGTTTAGGTATTAGTAGGGATATCGTTCTTCATAATGAGGGAATGGATGGAGTCTACACGATATGCTAGTGGAGTTATATAGGACAGACATTAAATGGAAACGATTTTATATGAGAATGATTTTCCATTTATTGGATTGTGCATGCCTGGCTCCTTTATAATCGCCATATGAAAGCAATAAATAATATAAAATTTATGCCATTGCTACAGAAATTATATTGCACTACTTTAACACTCTGTTGGTAAGTAAAAATATATTTCTTGCAATGTATTAAGTAACTATTTAGAGCAAATTTATGACAAATTTTGATAAGGTAGTTAGCATATTTTCGAAAAAAATACGTAACTTAAGAAAACTAATCACTCTCATAGAAAAATTAAATGATAGTTACCAGTGGTGTAGAAAGGTAAATTGGAAATACCCCCCCCCCTCCCCCTTCCCACCATGGCAAATATAATATAACAAAATGATCTGTTTTCACAATATCTATTGATAAAGCGGATTATGGATTTAACCCTCCTTCTTTCTATGTAAAAACTTGCTTTCACATTTTTTTTTATCAATTTTAAATTGTAAAACCTCTTCCATAATTTTCTTCCATTTCCATAAAATCTATCATGTTCTCTTCCCAAAATGTAACAAATCTATACTTTTTATGCTATCTCTACTAAATTACAAAAGTATCTCAAAAGCTACCATCCGTTTTATAAAGTCTCATATTTTTAAGATTGCCATATTAATCGCCTAGAATGAAAATAGAAATGCTTAAAATTTTTTTTAAATGTCCAGAATAGATACTTAACGTGGACATGAATGACTGTCAGTCATGTCTGGAATTATTTATTAATGCTCAGATATTCCGGGGAATTTATTCCCCGGGATTTATTATCAAGGACTTTTTTGCGAGGAATTTTTTTTTCTTTTACCAAGTTAAAGATATAAAAGTGAAAAATATAACATAATATTTTAATAAAATAACTAGAGGTAAGCAATATAATAATTGTTACTACAATTTTATTATAACTTAATATTATAATTTTAATTAATGTTATAATATATTATAACTTAATTATTATAATTTAAAATTAGTTTTATATTATATTTGTATAATTTATTCTATTTATTATTTAAATAGTTATTTTTATTATTATTTTATAATATTTTATTTCTTTTTCCACGTACCTAGCACTTTTACTTTATTTTCTATTCAAAAGATATCTTAAATAATAAAAATAAAATTGTAAAATATAGATGGCGTTAATAATTTGTATAAATATTGCTTAAAGGTATTTATTAATTTATGTTTTATTAAATATATTTAATGTATATAAAATAAATTCCTATTTCCCTAAAAATAATAAATTTGCATGATTAAAATATAATAAATCCTAAGGTATCTAAATATTGAAAAATGATCAATAGCGACCCATTTTTTAAAATAAGTTTTATAACATATAAGAAATTATATATTTTATATTTACATCGGTCCGGTTCGGTTCAAAATTGAATCGAGTCAAGTTTAGAAATGAACTTGCTCGATTTGTTAAATTTTTGAAAATTTATTTTATAAAAATAAATCAAAAAACCACTTATGAAAAATAATTTAGATCTGACTTCAAAATCTTCTAATATATTTATTTATGCTGGCCAAATTTTTAAACTGCTAAGCAAGCCATTCTAACAAATGATTTTTTATATTACAAGATGTGTTAATTAAATAAATTATTTGTGCAAAAAAGTGCCATATTCCCAGAAAAGGAGATCAATGCTATTATTCTAATGCTACTTATTAAAATGTATAAAGCATATAACGTACTTACAGGACCAAATTATTTTCAAATAGCTACTTATTTTTTGCTTTTAATAAAATATTTTTCACCAGAAAGTTTATACATTTTTTTATCAAAAAACTTTGCATTAATTAATATTATAACGTAAAATGAATGTAACAATGAATATCTTAAATGTTTTACAATATCAAATTAATAGATGCATTTAAGAGAAAATAATGGATAAAGATGGAAAATCTATTGATGCTGCTATAACTTATAAGGAATCAAAATTATATAAGGATTTGTAAATATGTAATTGTTTGTAACAATTCAATAAATATATTGTAAATTGTATAAAATTTATATAAAAATTTATGCATATTTATTGTAAAAAATCTTTCAATATGAACATACATAAACTATCAATAAATGTATTATCTGATCTGCTAAATATTCATTTCTATAATAAAAATAATGATTATTGTGATATCGACATATATGCAAATGATTTGTTTATATATTATATATAATTTGATAGAATTTATTTTGGTTCAAGTTTTTTTTGTATTTATATTAATTTAAAATTTTTTAACTATGTTAATTAGAAAAAAACGAAAGCGTATGTTAAGTTAATTTAAGGAAAGTTTAATATTTTTTTTATGATTTGAGATTTTACTTTTTAGTTTTTGGAAAATAATTTTTTATTACTTTATAATGTTTTTTATAATTTTACTTTTTAATTTTCCACTTCAATTTTTTTTATTATTATATAATTTTGATTATATTATTATAAATGTATATGAGTATAACAGACAACTTAAATTAAAGGATTGGTAAATTAAGATTTATCTTTTTATGTTTATGACAACAAACCTTTAAAATTTTGATATACTCCAGTCATGCTTTATTACAATGACCATGGATAGTTATCTAATTATTCTATTATTATTGTTTCCTTAAATTCATTGAATACCTATTTTGGTTTTCTAAACTTTGGAAACAAATTTTAGACTCAATAAAAAAATAATAAACCATTTGCATGGCCAGACCGGGTTTTTTAAGAATATATTATATATAGTTTAAATTTTTATAGATAATAATGGCGATTTATAACATTTAGTTTTAAAATATACAGCCCGGCCCAGGTTAAAAAAAACTTTAGGCCCGGACTGGTTATATTTAATAAAATTAAAATGCTGAATTATTTTTTTTTAACAAGTTGAGAAAAAAAAACCTTTTATTTGGACAACATCATGAATATCTCTTTACAAATTAAATTAAACTTTAGGGCCTATTTTTTTTGATAATTGAATCTTTTTATCTTATATAGAAATTTGCCATAAAATATTGTCATTTATTTATAAAAGATTTATTCTGGAAACGATATATAATTTTTGTAAACTGGATTTTATATAAATATAAAAGAGTAACTGTACTTTTTAAGTAATTTTATTTGCAAATTAAATTAAAATATGGAAATATTTTCAATCAAATCTGCACAACACTACATATTTTAAGATAATTTTCCAGGGGTGCAGGCGGGGTTTATCGTTATACCGTCTATTTGTACCGAATTACTGCACCTGAACGCGGCCAACATAGCGTCGCATACATCCTCCGGAGTTAAAAAACTATATTTCTCGTAGAAACTTTTGCCTAAAATTGCGATATTAATATGAATGAATAACTTTAAAAAAAAATTTCACACGTATATTTTTATAGTAAGTAAGAGTTTCTAAGTTCCCATTCAAGATTAAAAATCTGCCTATCTTATCTAACCACACTAGTTAAGATTAATTATTTAATGGTTGATCAGGCGCTATTATCTCAGTAAGAGTCAACTAAGGGGTATGAGCCTAAAAAGATTAGCAACAAATCTTTCTCGGGTTGAATGAGATTTAAAATAATCAATTTCTAATTTTTATTGATAGATAAATTTTGTAATGATTTCTTCAGTGTTTTCATTAATGATCCGCATCGGGAACAAATTTTATTTGTCTCGAAAAGCCCGATCCGATATAATAATTATTCGTCCACCCGACTCAATTTATTTAAATATAGAAAAATTTTAATTTTTTGACTGTAAAAAAAAATATTCTACAAATATAAAATATTAGCGCCATTTTCTTGCAAGAATTCCATATATCAACTTATTTGAATGTAATGATCTCATATTTAAAATTATAAGCCTCACCCGGCCCTGACCGAAATTTTTTAAAAAAATATTAAACTTAACCTAGCCCGAACCGAAATTAATTTTTTTAAAAATAGACCTGGGCTCGGGCTGGGCATTGATTTGCAGATCTCTAGTTTTCATAGTAAATAATTTTCTAAGAAGCAATTATAAAAATTTGTAATTTTTTTGGATTTAAAAGGAGGGGTAAGTTCAATCTTAATTAAAAAAATTGAATGATAACAAACTTATTTTATTTTTTTTTAAAAAAAGAATAAACCTCTATCGTCATTATCAATGAAATCGGTTTTAATAACACCGGGGTAGAGAGTCACTATTCTTGTAGCGTTGGCGTAGGGATGTTGCTGTACTTCTAGTCTCAAGCATTGAGTGATAGCTGTGACAGCGTGTTTAGACGCAATATACATATGACTGTAAAAGCTTGACTTGTCGTCGAATTTCATCAAAATGACCTGCTGTCCTACAATGCTACTAACGTTAACTATCAGTCCATCTTTTACACCTGATTTAGCCATCAAATTTATTGACTCTTTAGAACAAATGGCTAGACCCAAAACGTTAACCTCTAAGAGATATTTCCAGTCTTCGTAAATCTTGCCCTTGTCCTTATCTTCCAGTTCTCGATCGTATTTCCCGTTGCTTTGAATAGGCAGGAAATAGTCGGGGGTACCTAATCCGGCATTATTGACACATGCGTGCAGTGTTCTGTACTTTTGTTCTATGTGCTTAAACAGTCTGAGAATGTCTTCCACCTTGGACATATCACACCTTACCGCGTCTATAGAACCAGCCTCGCCAGGTTTGCCTTTACAATTCTTAACCAACTCCTGAGATTAATAATATATATATTATTTTTTTAAAAAAAAATACATTCGTGGGACTTGCATAATATAACTTAGATTTATTTATTAAATAAAAATATATAAATTAGAAATCGATATACCTTTTAAAAATTTTTTAAAAAATTGAAATTTCGAATTTATGAAAATAAAGTATATATTTAATTTTTCTTTCTAATATAAAAACAAAAAGCATGTCCATACCATATTATCAATTTTTTTTTAAAAGTTTGACAAAATATTTTACTCAAAGATTCCTTTAAACTTTTTAAAAATCTTTTGAAAGTTTGACATTAAATGGACACAACCTTACAAAATCTTCTTATAAAAAGAAAAGAGTGAGGACTTATGGTAATTCGTTGTGAAATTATTGAATGGGTCATTAGATGATTATATTCATGTTTTCAGGCAATTTTATTTTAGCGTCTTTGGCTAGATCTTGGATAAGTTGTGTAAGATTAATTAATCTATTTCATCAACTATCTTTGCCAAAATTATCTCGAAACTTCTAGAATTGGTATGATTTAAATATCAGAAATATATAGATGTGAGAAGGGGTCGTTAAAATTATAGTTTCTTTTAAGATTAATATCCTAGTCGCATTCATTCCATCCAAAGGTATAGTATCATTGTGACGCGTAGTCTTTCAAAAAAAAGATCAAAAAAACAGAATCATCAGGAAAATATACCATAATAAAACTTGAAGTATGAGAATATATAACAAACATGAGTAAGTAGGTTGAGCCTTTTAAATATTGTTTAAGAGCGATGTCAAAATTTTTACGCCAAAATAATATAATTTAAGCCTCGAAATTTTGTCGATGGATTATGAGCAAAATTCCAAAGCACTATTAAATTCATGATAAAACATGAATTTTCTAAATTTTATTACGAACGAATTCATCATATATATTATTATACTTGTAATTTATCCATGCTTCTTGCGCAGGCAACAACTATCATTCCGTAATTAGCCAAAATTTGAGCGATACATTTCCCCAATCCTTTAGAAGCTCCTGTCACTAAGACAACTTTATTTTGCCACTTTTCCATTATTAACAGATTTTTTTTGAAATTTTAATAATTTTTTAAAAAAAGGTTTCCTTAAAAAAAATTGAAATTTAGTATGACATTATTTTTTTATTACAATTCTTCAAGGTTGAAAAATAAACTATAATACAATAAAATACAACAACGCTATATTTTTTTGTTAAACCCAATAGGCGTAGGGAAGAGGGGAGGGTGGGGTATAAATGTAATAATTAAGAACGAGGTGTTAAATTTTAAATATTTTATTTTTAAAAATTTTAACAAACTTTTCTTTTTTATTAATTAACTAACATAAGAAGTTTTAACAAATAAAAAAATAATTTATTTTATCAAATTGTAAGTATAAAATCAAAAAGAAATATTAATAATTAGTGTTGTTACACGGTTTATTTTGAGCCGATTTTTAAAAACGGCTAAACTCAATGTTTTATTTAGAAAACTATCATGGCAAGCCTTAAGATTTTGCTTATATTTGGCATAAAGGTTTGGACATCTATTATAGCCAAATCTCGAAGGTGAGACAATATTTTTCTGGCTAAAATATTGAGTTGGCTCAAATCGAGCCGTTTAACAACTTAATGTACTATTATAACAATAAATAAATGTAAAAAATACACATCATATTTATTAGTGCATAATGTTGTTTGTAACTAATTTACTTACAAATTACATTCTTATAATTATTATCATGAGTAACTAGTTGCAGTTAAGTTGCAAAAGTACAAGTCACTTTGTAAATAATTTTTATAATCTTTCTTTATATCTTATAGGAATATATAAATATATTATAAACAAAATTTAAATTTGGTTTATATCATATTCAAATCTGCTTAATCTGATTAACATGTTTGAGAATTTTACCAATTTTTTAAAATTTAAAACAGTTTTTAGATATAATTTGTTTATATAGTCTGGACTTTTCATCTCTAGGCTACAATATAAATTAGATTTTTTTTATGAGAAGTGGTAAATTATAAATTATAATATCCTTTTTTTTCCATTATTTTCTTTGTATATTTTTTTTTCACAAATGATCAGAGGTAAAAAAAAAAGAACAAAAGGAATTTTAAATTATTTCTGTATTTTAATAAAATAAAAATCATTCAATCACATAACCTGAGGCAACCATTATTAAGATTTTCTTTCTTTCTTTCTTTCTTTCTTTCTTTCTTTCTTTCTTTCTTTCTTTCTTTCTTTCTTTCTTTCTTTCTTTCTTTCTTTCTTTCTTTCTTTCTTTCTTTCTTTCTTTCTTTCTTTCTTTCTTTCTTTCTTTCTTTCTTTCTTTCTTTCTTTCTTTCTTTAAATTTAGATATCCCTCTAATGGACGAACTGTAGTCTTATTTCAGAGATGGGAACTTCTTTAGAAAATAAGCCAGATAGATCGCCAAAGTTCAACTAACACCGGCCTACCATTTTAAAATATTAAAAAGATAGCTTACAATTAATAATAAACTCTTTGTTCTTTTTTATCTCATTTAAACTACGATAAAAGATGAATTTTTTTAATTATAAGATAATTAGTTTTAAAAAAATATATATAGGGGAGACCGGGGAGCATACGAGCCCTAAAAAGCAAAGGTCAATAAAATTAAAATTACTTTATAATATTTAATAAATAATATTTCATTTTTATTCCATTTATTGCTAGCTATACATAAAAATAATTATTTAAAAAATGGTATATATATATTTTTTTAACAATATTAATTTTTTTACTAAAAAAATAGTTGGGAAAGTATGAGCTACACACGGGGAAGGGTGCACTCTTGAGCTGCTAATATTAATTATTATAAAATATAAATGGAAAATAAATATAAAAAAACTAGTGAAATTTATTGACAGAACAAATAGAAGAAAAGATTAAAATTGCAATAGGATCCTTGCAAAAAAAGAGCATTTACTTGGTATAAAGACCCATAGACATTTTATAGCATTTATTAGATAATTGTTTAATATAGTTTCTATCACTTTCTTGAATATTTATCTTGTTGTAGACAATTTTAAATCTTGTTGTTTAATCATTCATCTTGATTTACTTTTTACTGTCAAATAACCTAAATGTGTTTTCTCCGTAATTGGTAGTAAGGACGGATTTTTAATAAATTTATTAATGATCTCATCATTTATTAGTTATTCTTCTTTGTAATTCAAATTTCAATAGGCAAAAATAAATTTTAAAAATAACGCTCAAAAAGCTCATATGAAGATGAACCAATAAAAAGTTGCCCCACATTCTCAATATCATTAAAATTTAATTTTATGGCAGTTTAAACATATTTTTCGTTCAAGTAAAAATTAATTTTATAGAATAGGGTTTAATTTTTTATATAAGATAGTTATTGGATAATTAAAACTTTTTATTATTTTTCATTTTTGATAAATTGCATTTAAAAATGTTACTTTTGAGGGTCTATATTGTGTTAAAAAAATTTCATATGTGATCCGATATTAAAAAAAATTATAGCCGGATATGCACAATGTAGTTTTACATATTCGATTAAATTAACCATTAGAGTTGAGTACTCTAAAAGAAAACCTCAAGGCTCACAAGATCCCCTGTCTCTCCTATCTAGATTTTAATTTAAAATTGTATAAAAATTATTCAAAATTTTTCTAAAAATAATTTTATCAAAATGGAAATGCTTCACGAATTTGTTTGAAGTGTAGGAAAATTGGCCATGTAGCCATAAACCATATACGGCCTGTAAAAAATGAGTATCGAGTCAAGTTCAGAAATGAACTTGATCGATTTGTTAAATTTTTAAACATTTATTTTCAAATAAATCAAAAAAGCTTTTCATAAAAAATGATTTAGATCTGATTTCAAAATTTGGGAATTTTTTTCCCATCGTTTATTCAAAGCGTTTTCCATAGCACATTTTCCGCAAAACTTCCAAATAACAAACGATTTTTATTATACAGATGAATTTTTATATTATATGATATTTTAATAAATAATTTGTGCGAAAAAGTACTTTATTTCCAGAAAAGGGACCAATGTTACTCTAAAGCGAATATTATTTACTTATTAAAATATAAAAAGCATATAAAGTACTTAACAGGACCAAATTATTTTCAAATAGTTCTATACAATCAGAATAAACCAACTGAACATTTAGAGGTATAAGTTATCTAGCCGTGTTCTAGATTGGCTTAATTTAAATACTTAATTGCTTACAGTCTAAAAAGTATTTAATAGAGGACACCATATTTTGGATTATTTTAAATATTTGGTGGCATTGCTTTTATTGTTTTATTTTAAAAATTTTTCTTTGCTTTTTGGCTATTTAGCCGATACTTAAGAGACGGGTAAATAGCCTCCTATTAAGTATTAAGCCGACCTAGAACAGGGCCTTTAAGCTTAATTCTTAAATTGGTTACTTTTGTTTATTAAAATATTATTCACCAGAAAGAATAAATAATGTGTCAGGTTTTGAATTTGTTTATAATAATTCAACAATAACAATATATCTGTCATATTAGGTATGGTTTGTATTTCTACTATATTTTGGAATAAATTTAATATTTTTTTTGCTAAGATTTCTATAATAATGTTAATGGATAGTTATAATAATTCTATTATCATTATTTCCTTATATTCAATGAATACCTTATTTTAATTTATTAACAGAAATGTAAATTAATATAATATCAAATTAAAAATATCTACAAGAAATAAGCCTTTTTTTTAAATAGAAAAATAAAAATATGGCCAATCCATATTTGTGATAATTTCAAAAATATATCATTAGATTTCTTCAAAGTTTTATAATTTAAAAAATTTTTGAAACAAATTTTAAACTCAATAAAGCTTATTAATATAAATATCTACACAATTATTGTTTTTAACAAGTCGAGAAAAAAAAACTTTTATTTATCAAAATCCACAATATAATATTTACTACCAATTAAATTAAAATATTTACTACTAATTAAATTAAACCTTAGGGCCTATTTTTTTGATAATTGAATCTTTTTATCTTTAATATAAATTTTGAATAAACGTTGTTACCTATTTATAGAAATATTTTTATGAAAAAAACGATATATATATAGTTTTTTTAAAATAAGATTTATACAAATATAAAAAAACAATTTTTGTAAGTTTAATAATTTTATTTGCGAATTAAATTAAAAAATATATGGAAACGTTTTCCAACAAATCTGCACAACGCTATATATTTTAAAATGATTTTCCAGGAGTGCGGACCGGGTTTATCGTTATCCCATCTATTTGCACAGTATTATTGCATCTAAACGCGGCCAACATCGCGTCGCATACATCCTCCGGAGTTAAGAAACTATATTTTTCGTAGAAACTTTTGCCTAAAATTACGATGAATAATATAAAAAAATACGGTAAAATTTTATTTTATAAGGATACTGTTATAGTAACTAAAAGCTCCCGAAGTTCCTATTTGTTCAAGATATTCAAAAAATCTTTTTATCTCATCTAGTCATAATAGATCGATATTTATTGTCTGAGAGAACCCTATCATCTCTTTATGGCCAACCAGGCGAATGAGCCTAAAAAGGTTAGCCTTTTGCAATACAAATTTTTCTCGAGTTGATTGAGATAAAAATAAAGAATTTTTTATAACAAATAATTTTTTCTAACAAAGAATTATAAAAATTTGAAATTTTTTTTTAAATTTAAAAGAAAAGGTCAGTCCAATCTTGATTAAAATAATTCAATGATAACAAAAAATACCGAAATTTCAAAAAAGCTTATTTTTACAATAAAAGTCAAACAAACCTTCATTATGGGTATTATCTATAAATTCGGTTTTTACAACGCCGGGGTAGAGGGTCACTATTCGTGTAGCGTTGGCGTAGGGATGTTGCTGTACCTCTAGTCTCAAGCATTGAGTGAGAGCTGTAACGGCGTGTTTAGAGGCTATATACATATGACTGTAAAAGCTTGACTTATCATCGAATTTTATCAAATAGACCTGCTGTCCTACTATGCTACTCACGTTAACTATCAGTCCATCCTTTACGCCTGATTTGGCCATCAAATTTATTGCCTCCTTAGAGCAAATGGCTAGACCCAAAACGTTAACCTCTAAGAGATGTTTCCAGCCTTCGTATATCTTGCCCTTTTCCTTCTCTTCACTCTCTCCATCATATTTCCCGTTGCTTTGGGTAGGCAGGAAATAGTCGGGGGCACCTAATCCAGCATTATTGACACATGCGTGCAGTGTTTTGTACTTTTGCTCTATGTACTTAAACAGTTTGAGAATGTCATCCACCTTGGACATATCGCATCTTACCACGTCTATATAACCACCCTCGCCAGGTTTGTGTTTACAATTCTTAACCAACTCCTGAGATTATTAACATAGTTTTTTTTATAAAAAAAAAATACATTCGTGCGACTAAAATAGATTAATATAACTTAGATTTATTTATTAAATAAAGTAACATAATATTCTAAATTTTCTCATTTTTAATTTAAAAAATATATATATTGGAAATCGATAAGCTTTTATTTAAAAAATTTCACAATTTAATTCGATAAAAAAAATTTAACTAATTTTGAATGAAAATAAAGTGTATTTAAGTTTTCTCTTTAACACAAAAATAAAAGCATGTTCAAATCATATTTTCAATTTTTTTTTAAAGTTTGAAAAAAAATTTCACACAAAAACCTCCGTTAAACTTATGTTTTATAACAAATTTAGGACACAACCCGACAAAATCTTTTTAAAAAAGAATTCGTTTAAAAAAAAAAATTAAAAACAAGAATTTATACCATAATAAAACTTTAACAATGAGATTATATAACATGCATGAGTAGGTAGTTTGAGCCTATTTAGGCAAAAACAATATAATCTTAGCCTCGAAATCTTGCCAATGGATTTCCAAAATCTTCGTGCTTATGAGCAAAACTTCTTCCAGGCACACATATATAACAAATTCACGATAAAACATGAATAGAACGAAATCATCATATATATTATTAATTATACCTGTAATTTATCCATGCTTCTAGCACAGGCCACAACAATCATTCCGTTATTAGCCAAAGTCTGAGCGATACATTTCCCCAATCCTTGCGAAGCTCCCGTCACTAAAACAACTTTATTTTCCCACTTTTCCATTAATAACGGTTTTTATTTTTTAAATATAAATTTGGGACAAAATTTAAATAAATCTCTTTAAAAAGGTTTCCCCTAAAAAAATTAAAAATAATAATGAATATGAGATTATTATTTTGATATTAAATTTTTCAAGGTTGAAAAATAAACAAAAAATTTAATATTACAAAACCCAATAACGCAAGCAAATAAAATATTTATTTGATAAACCTAAAAGGCATAGGTAAGGGGGGTGGGTATAGATGTAATTCAGTAGCGGAGGCATGGGGGGTTTAGGGGTTTAACCCCTCCCCCCTTATGAAAATTATTTAATATTTTTATTTTACTAAATTGATAATAAAAATGCTTTAAAATTTAAAAAAAACAACTATTTTTATGTTTTTAATTTATAAATAATAATTTTGATTTACGGTATCTTGCAAAAAACTGGTCTAGTTTATCATATTCTTGTTTTTTCAAAAAAAAAGTCTACTTTGTCAATTTCATGATTAATTTATTCCTATTTCAATAAATAGCACAGATATGCCACAAGTCTATTTGATTACCTTTTTTTGCTAATATTAAATATAAAAGTATCAAAGCTACAACCACATCAAGTCTCATAGTTTAAAGGATGAAAGGATTTTTTATAATGATAATAATAGCAATAATTATTTTAGATATTTCATTTATTTAATTTTTCAAATTGCTTTTATCCAGAATCATCATTCTATCTTGTTTTATGAAATTTAAATTACTTCTATATTTTATTTATTAAACAAACTGAAAATAAAAAATGACATCTATGAAGATAGAATCATAAGATTCAAGAATATCTTGAATCGGGGAAAATATAACCTTAATGTATTCAGACCAAATTGGATTTTGATAATTTAAAATTCGATATTTAAAAATCAGCTTAAGACTTGCCGTAATTTTTATTTTGCTTATCACTTGTTTTATTGGTTGAAAAAAAAATTGATCAATGAACTAGTAATAGTTTCTGTGTAATTTTCCTTCTAGCATGATGCCAATTTTGGCGATTATTTTTATTTTGCCAAAAATGTTTTTCGTTAAACAAACTATCTACCAAACGGGTTGAAGCAGTAGAAGTATGAAAATATGCATTAATTATTGTTAATTTCCCGAGATAATGTTTCCAGATTTAGATAGATAACTTTACGCTTAAGACGTGATATCATAGTTAGTTTTAGGTTCATAATTCGGCTTATTTTTTAATGATTGGCAAAATTGATTATAAAGAATTAATAAGGCACTAAATATTAACGCAAACCGGATAATTAGAACTTATATATTCGCCGTTATGGCATGATGATAATTTTGACTATTTTTTATTTTTTTACCAATATTTCTTTTCTGCCAATTGAAATTGATTTATTGCAAGCCATATACCCTTCGAAATGGTTTGTAATTTTGTACAAGCCAAGCTTGTTATCAACAATATTTTATCTGAAACACAAAATGATAAAATAAAATAAAATTTTTCTATACTAAAAACTATAGCATTAGCCATGGTAGAAGTGGCAGAATCTTCAGAATCCTAAAAATTTTTCAAAGCTGCCTTCAAGGTAATATAAAGTAGAAAATATTTTGCAATAGCTTTATATGGTGATAACCAGCTTCTATAAATATAATATAAACAAAACATTTTAAATCTAAACAAATAAAATAATATTACCAAATAGTATTCTTGATGCGGAAAATTAGCGATTTGTCAGTATATCACTCTGACTTTGAGCACTGCATATCTTTTAACACCATTGAAATACACGTGAATCTCGTCTAAAATCTTTAAAACATTTCTTAGTTCTTTTAATGATTTAATCGATGGCAATAGCACCAAATAAAAGTTGCTTTTCAGATCTCATCTCTAATCAAAGCCTGTTCTTTTATGATCCTTCCACTCATGCTTAAAGCACCATCATAGCTTTGCCCAACTAAGAATTCAGGGGTAATTCATGAAACTAAGTTTGCATATTATATTTTTTTTAATATCAAGAGCAGTTGTGTTACTATTTTCAATGTACAAAGCTATTGCTTCTGATTTCAAAAAATCATATGTACCATCAACTATAATTGAAAAACACCTTCAATCTCCCTTTTAATTAATTTTTTATAACCATATTTTTCATAGCTTCATTGAAAGTATTTATAAGACAATAGATTAGAATATAATTTGGGTTATCTCCCTTCTTTTTGATTCTTGAATATACAATTTGAGGATAGGTTCCGAATCGGAAATTAGTTTAATTATGTCTTTAAAAGTTACTATTTCAAAACTTTTCTTTATATCATTAATGTTTTGCCCACCATGTCGTTTTGTATCATGGTCTATCTATCCATTTATCATCTCTAATATTATGCCACGTGTTATTATTAATTAAGCATTTATATTTTATTTGGTTAATATTTTCGGACATGTTTTGGAATTGGTATTTATGGGTGTGGCAAAACCATAAAAGAAATAAATTAAAAAAAAAAATTACTTTTTGAAACGCGATATCATCCCTTTTTATAATCTAATAATCTATTAAAAATGTTCTAGCTAATTTTTTAAAATTATTTATTATAATAAATTGATTTAATAATCAGCAGCAGACTAATTGTTGTCCCGTAAATGCACTCCATTTAAAAAAAAAACCCCGCTAGTTTTCTTATTTTTATTTATTTTATTTTAACTTAAGCTTATAAAATATGCACATTGTTTTAATGAATGAACAGAAGATCGATAGATAAAATTTATCAGACCCGGGGTCAGACCCTGGAAGAAATTTTTCTTTATTTGGGTAAAAATATGTGAATAAAGGAATAATAGTTAGTAATTTCCAGAATCCATTAAGAACATTTTACCTCAACATTTCATGGAGGGGGAGGGTAGGATTCGAATAATGCAGTGAGTAGTAAAAATAATTTTGCGGTAGATGATAACTCGGTTAATCCAATATTCTATCCAAAATACGCAAGCCTTAAAATTTAGATCATAGCTGGCGTAAAGATTTGGACATTTATTAGCGAAATCTCGTGATTTAGGCAATATTTTTCTTGCTAAAATATTTAGTTAGCCATTTTTAAAAATATGTTAAAATGGAGCCGTTTAATAAAACTAGAGATAGCTAACTAACCATTGTCTCCAAGTTATTTTTTTTTTTCGTGAAGACGCTGGTTGATTCATGTTGTACTGAGGATTTATTTACTAACATGCAATTTAAAGCGTCGTTGAAAATCAGCTGTGGTCACGTGATTTTGATTTTCCATGAAGAATTTTTTATAAATTAAATGAAACTCTGAAATTATTTATATTTTTAATGTTTCAATGTATCCCCTCCCCCATTATGTCAGACCTATATATAATAGGACCCGAAGTGAATACTATTTGAGTCAAAATATTTTTTAATAACTTTTATTTGATACCCATATAAATATTATGCGTTGATTAAAATATTCATGACCACCCAATACCTAGACCCGCTTACTAGGAGTGATAATTATCATTAAGTGTAAATGTATTTTATTCCCCACTAAATTCAACCCATTTAAAAAATATTTTAATTGGTTTTTATTTGATATCCATATCGATTTTTTGTGTTCATTAAAATATTATTGATATTCAAGCTTAAACTAGCCCATTATGAGTACGAGGTTCACCTCCTATTGGATAAATTTTTTGATTAACTATGGATTGTTATATATATTGATATTAGACATCTACTTTAATAAAGCCAAAAAAAAGACAACTTTAAAAATAAATAATTAAAAATAAAATTAGAACCCGTGAAGGTATAGCGCTAAGCTGCTGCGGCGAGAGCTTAGCTAAGCTGTTGCGACAAATGTTCAGTAGTATTTAGTTGTAAATGTGATTCCCAATCCGGGTATTGTTATACTTTTCACAATATATGACATAAAAATACAAGATAATGTGACAAGCCTATTATTATATAAGAGATATCATAATATATTAGATATTATTATAAAGAAAAGAGACTACGTTATTACTCATTCTCATCTGTGACGCTATTTGAAAATAATTGAAATCTACAAATTTAAAATATTTTTTAAAATATGTTAAACTTAAATCTTAAAAAAAATATTTGTAAGAAAGATAGATCACTATTTAACATTCTCAAACAATCTCTAATTAAAACTACAATGGTTGCGTTCGAGTGAGGAGCCAATATTTCAGAGTTATTCAGAAAGACAAGTTATATTTATCTTTCATTTGATTTTTATAAGTTTTTGATTTTTATAAGTTTTTGATTGTTAAAATGTTCAAAGGATAACAATTATTATCTGTAATATATATCCTAACAATCATTTTACCATACTATTATTTAGATTAATTTTATTTTTAAATATTAAATTAAATGGTAGCACCTTTAACTGCAATTTAATATTTTTGTGGGTATAACAAACAATAAGACCTTAGCCAGAAAATGGTAAAAAAATAAATAAATATATTATAATGATAAATTTAACAAATAATAGATGACGAAAATATAATGAATATTAGGTTAACATTCAAGGAGTAAAAATATTTAAGAATGAGATAATTGATGTAGAAATATATGTGATACAATCCGGGAAATGGAAAGTAAACTTTTTTATCCTAGTTATTTTTAAAATATAATTGGTTAGTTACCTTTGATTAAAAATTGGTTTTTAAAAAATACTAAGATGCCTATAGTAGATCTTTTGGAGGATTGCTTAGAGTTTTAAAGCTAAGTATCCAATAGCTTTGATGTGGGTTATGATTTTAGGTCTTTAGCAGTTTGTTACTTACGAAGAATTTTCGTTAATGTTGTTTAAGTTGTTTAACAGTATGCTATGAGGCTCTTAGTTATTAGCTTTGAGTTACTAAACTTTTTGTTGCACAGTAATGAGGCGGCATATTTTGCCATTTGAAATTATAAACTTAAATTCTCAGGATTTGTATTTTTAATTCCTATATACTTGTGTTTGAGTTGGTTATAGTAATGCCATTGACTTTGAGTAGTCCTGAAAATTAT